ATATATATATATATATATATATATACACATACATACATACACACACACGCACGCACGCACGCACGCACGCTCACACACACACACACACACAGTCTCTGCCTCTTCATTCATTCATATGTGGTTACTAATTGTAGTGTAAACCTGATATTGCAAGATAATAATACATTATATTTGTCCTGTTTATTGATTTTCTGGTTTTAAACAATTACATGTGAACCGCAGTAATTACAGTCAGTGTTGAGTGTGTGATGTTGATGATCATCATGAGTTTGAGAGTCTCAGTTACTCACCTGTTACAACGTTCAGATTCACTTCAGTGTGAGAATCTTTTATTCCAGAGATATCAACTCCACACTGGTACGTCCCAGAATCCCGTTCACTCAGATCTCTGAAGGTCACAGTGAAAACGGCTGCTCTTGTGTCGTCAAACAGAGAGAATCTTCCAGAATCAACCCATTTTTCCCCATTTTTCTTATCAGTCTTGATGAGGTCAGAGCATTTGGACCACTCTCCTCTACTCAGATGAGTTCTGAGTGTTTCTTTCCTGGTTACATGTTTAACATAAACTGCTGACTGTGACAGAGAGATGCCCACTTCCTCTGAGAGAGAGAGAGATAATAATAAAAGAGAAGTGATGATAATACATGTTCACACAAACATGCAAGACTCCTGGACATGTGAAAATACAACTTTGTGTTCAAAGCATTATTTGAGAGATTTCTACAAAAATATGTATTTTCAATCTTTATTCAGACTAGAATCTCAAATACTAGAAATTAAAAGTGAGATCTAGTGGACACATATGCAAACAGCAGCGGTTACCATGGTAACAAATTAAGTTGTGCTTTTTGATCATTTCATCTTACCATAGTCCATTCATATCACATTTGCATACAATATCACGACTTCATCTAGGTTTTTTAATTTTATTTTTCTAAGTTATCAAGCTTTTAAAATGAGCACTGAGAAAAAAAGAACAATAGTTGCTCCATGTGTTAAAGTTTGTGAGCTTTTCAACACTGCAGCCTCAATAAATTCTTTTACAAGAACCGCTAGTGGCCAGGCATGTAGTTTGACGTTAACCAACCTAACTGAGCACCGCTGCATATTCTGTTTTAATTTCACACTTTTGTTCTGAAATATTCAGTACTTATTCACATCAAACACTGACCAAAAAACTCAAGGGTTTCTGATCATTTATTTCAGTGTCATTTGCAGAACAAAACACTGCACTGTCATTTAAACATCCTTCATGTCTGACTTACAAGACTGTCTTAAATATACAGCAGAAGAGCATCACAAAAATAACACAAATACCAAACATGGAAGCTTAAACTCAAAAACAAAGCCTTCAGCTCATTGATATTCTCTGCTGTGGCTCGTCAGGCAGTGAGATGATTAACAGCAGCGTATTTACTGCAATCCTGATTATTCCTCAAACTGACTCTGTCAGGACAGTCCGCTTTCTTGTGGAAATTCACCACGGCGTAATTCAGATCCTCAGCACATGTGATGAAGATCTGAGAGTCACCGGTGGCTTCCTGAACTGTAGAGTAAACTAGGGTGACCATATTTTAGTTTTCCAAAAAGAGGACAGTGGGGGGCGGGGTTCGTGGGAAGGGGCAGGAGGCGGGGTTTCTCCTAACAGTATATGTAGGAAGGTTTTTGTTTTGTTTTTGTTTTTTTGTTTGTTTGCTTGTTTTGTTTTTAGAATAAATAAAAAGAAAACAAGTAGATAGAATAGAAAAAGAATAGTGAATGCTAGTGTTAGAGGCTCATTTTTTAAAATAAAAATAAAACAAGTCAATAGAACAGAAAAATAATAGATAATGCTTGTGTTAGAGGGTCAAATGAAGATGAAAGAGATGTATTTTCAGACGTTTCTTGAAAATGATTAAGGACTGCTTGGATTGAGTTGGGCAGATCATTCCACCATGAGGGAACAGTTAATGAAATAGATTTTATCACAGGTTGAATACAAAATGTTTCAGTACAAGCATTTCAGTCAAATGTATTTCATGCAATATTTCAAACCTTTAACCCACTTGGGAAAATCAACGACAGCGGCAACAGTAATACTACAGCGAGAATAAAAGTTACGTCTTCTTTCTTTGCGTGAACATTTGGGCGGTGTTATGCAAATCTTCCCACATAGTGAGGTAGAAATGTGTGGGCGTGTTAGAACGAGCCGTTTTAGGTAGGCGTGTCTGACTCTTAACTTTTATAAAGAATATCTCTTTGGATTTGAGACTTTAGTCTTTGCAACTTTACAGATCTTCTTTATGCACCAAGAGCTTGTAACACTCCAAAGAGAAAGGAAAAATTGAAATCGCATCATATGACCCCTTTAAAGGAGTGGACACGAAAATCGCGGGAGCGAAACACGTGTTGCGGGAGCAGGCGGCAATGGTCAGAAATTCAGTGGGAGCGGGATAAAGAAAACAGACGAATCCCGGACATTTTGGGCGATTAAGAAATCCCGGCCGGACGCGTTTTTTTAGGTCCAAAAAGAGGACATGTCCGGGGAAAAAAGAGGAGTATGGTCACCCTAGAGTAAACGCAGTTAGCAGAAACAGAGGGGTTTGTGGGTAATTGTCTTTAATCTCCTCATAATCACTACCAGTGTGAGAAACCTGAAGAGAGACAGATACATTATTAACAGCTCTGTAGATCTTCATGATGGAGGCATTAGAATTTATTCTCATTATGAATAAAAATCAACATCTTATTTTATACAGTAACTGGACTGACTGATTCATGTTTTCCTGCTCCAGTCTGAGATGACGAATCACCGCCTGCCAAAACAAGAGTCTAAATTAATGACATTATATCACATTTCAACACTGGTGTCTAATGGAAATGCTTTCACACATCATCAAATATCTGTATTTTGCTCATGTCTCATTGCAGCCTGTAGGTGGCGACAGACTCAAAGTGGGAAAACAGATCAACAAATCTTTGCATTTTAAACTCAGTATGCAATATTTCAAACCTTTAACCCACTTGGGAAAATCAACCCATGGCAACGGTTTAAAAGTAGCTCAATTCTGTGTGAAAAAAAAAAACCCGGATTTGGCAAACCTGCATCCAAAAAGAGCTGCAGGAGTCAGATTTGACTGATCACAGCCAGGTCAAGAATAAGGAGAGATGACTGACAAGACCATGCCGGAGTATTTGCTGCTTAACAGATCCTGAGCTCACTGACAAATATCTTATCTTGCAAGATGTGCTCCTTTTACACAGAGTAAAGGGTGTGATTGCGAAATCGAAAGTGAAGTGAACAGCGCTAACGCTCATTCAAAAGGTTTAAATACTCCGCATACTGAGAGCGGCTCCCTGACGCCCCAAAATTATACACAATATTAGAATGTTTAAAGGGGTTATATGATGTTGCTAAAAAAGAACAGTATTTTGTGTATTTGGTGTAATGATTTTGCTCATGTCTCATTGCAGCCTGTAGGTGGCGACAGACTCAAAGTGGGAAAACAGATCAACAAATCTTTGCATTTTAAACTCAGTATAATGGAGTTTCTGCATCTAAAGACATTAAGAAGGAGCTTTAACTCGAGACTGATGCTTCTTACAGAGAAACAGTAATAAGAGACCAACGGTGATCAGAACCAGAAGAACCAGAGAGACGGTCAGAGAAGAGCCTGAAAACACAGGAGATGAAACAATCAGCTCAGATCAATCTGATCACTCTGAGCTGAATATCTGATCAGATCACGGGCGTAGCTCAACATTTGGACTATAAGTGTTACGGGGCTCACACATCTTAATATTTGGGTTGAACTGTTCTGGAACAGTGTTGTAAATACAACTTAACCACTGATTTCTAGTCGTGTCCTCTTTTGGAAGACCAAACAAAGTAGTTTCGCTTTCACAACGAAACACACAGCGTCACACTCGGAGGGCTAGAGTGAGTTGCAGCCGGCGGATTTGACGAAGGAGCGTCCGGCGGGCTTGTGGCAACCACATGTGACGACCCCGGGCTGGACTCTGCTTCGTCCACGGTGAAAGCCGATCCGGTGATCCACAACGCAAAGTTGTTGTATTTCCTCAGCGACCAGCACGGATCCCCTTATCACATTTCAACACTGGTGTCTAATGGAAATGCTTTCACACATCATCAAATATCTGTATTTTGCTCATGTCTCATTGCAGCCTGTAGGTGGCGACAGACTCAAAGTGGGAAAACAGATCAACAAATCTTTGCATTTTAAACTCAGTATAATGGAGTTTCTGCATCTAAAGACATTAAGAAGGAGCTTTAACTCGAGACTGATGCTTCTTACAGAGAAACAGTAATAAGAGACCAACGGTGATCAGAACCAGAAGAACCAGAGAGACGGTCAGAGAAGAGCCTGAAAACACAGGAGATGAAACAATCAGCTCAGATCAATCTGATCACTCTGAGCTGAATATCTGATCAGATCACGGGCGTAGCTCAACATTTGGACTATAAGTGTTACGGGGCTGACAAGACGTGAGACGTGCGGATCCAAGTGCAAAGCTTTATTAATAGACATGGTTAGAGACAGGCAAGGGTCAGACAATGGCAACAGGTATATAGAGGGCAAGACATAAGAATGTTCCTAGGGCTAGCATGGGTCTATGATCGGCGGACAGAATCAACAGGGCGTGACTAGAGGGATAAGTTCAGGTACAAGGCAATGTCCAGGCAGGGGCAAACAGTATCAGAAATTGGGCAAGACGAGAGGGGGAATCCGAGAGACACAGGCGAAGATCAGGATACGAGAACACAGACAAGGCAAGACTAAGGTAAGACTATGACAAACTAAACAGGCTCCGTAGAGTAGCTATCGCTAGGTGAGTGATATACGCTTATACAATACTCGGCAGTGGGAAGGGATCAGAGTGAGTGTTATATAGGGAATGTGTGATTGATTACAGCTGTGTGCAATCAGTGCTGTGTGCAATCAACTGTGTGTGTGTGTAATCAGTGCAGTGGATGATGGGAACTGTAGTCCGGGTGAAGTGCAACAGTGGTGTGGTGCAATAGTTCATAGTAGTGGAAGGGTGACCTCTGGTGGCAAGCAGACGGAAGTTCATGGACAGGATTTGTCACAATAAGGTGATAACGGGAGACCATGATATTGGATTTGCAGGTTTCTGTTTCACATTGTACATTCACGCAACCCCAGGGTGCGAACTACGGGGGAGCTAGGGGGAGCTCGGCTCCCCTTAATAAGACATGGGCTCCCCTGAAAACGGGATTTGTGAAATTTTGGGGGGTCTCAAAAAATATTGACAATGTTTTATTTTGACGTGCAATTTCAGTTTTGTGTAATGTGATCATCGTGGATTATTATGTGTAAAATTGCAAAAATATCATTCATTCATGCATGACGGCAATTTAAACCTAATTCACTTCAATAAAGATAACATGCTATTCTTGTCATGAGCATCAAGGTGTGGGGGCGCTGCGGTGCAAATTCCACTCATGTTTAGTACATGTTAACCCAAAGATTCGTAGAAAAAATATAAACGCTG